ATTTTGATCAAGCCAAAAGGCTTGTAATTCAGGTTGATAAGCTATAATCTTGCTTTAAAAATCCACGAAATGGAAAGGGGACTCTTATCTCCAAGTTTAAGGTCGAGCGTCAGTAAATGGCTGTGGTGCACGGAGGTGCGCTCACGGCCAACACACTCCCCCCTCCACCTACAACGTAGCCCTTCCGCTACCGAACTCAACTGCTCGCTAAGCTCTGCTAAATCATCATTTTGAAAATTAATATTTATATTTAATTGTTGTCCCAGAAGCTCCCATTATTTACTCCAAAATACATTCCTTGAAATAATTTGTTTAGCTAAAATTTTGTGCAATCTCCCCGCTGGCAACATTAAACATTTCCATAAATAATTTAGATTTACATTCAAAGTATAAAAATATAACTTTTCACAACATGTTTCCAAATATAATGCATAATTTGGTGTGTTAAAAGGTAAAGTAAATAATTTTTTTAGAAATATTTTTTGAACAGATTCTATTTTTCGCTTTCTATACATCCCCACACCTGAGCTCCGTAACAGATTGTAGCTCGCACTACCGCTTCGAAACAACATATTTTGGAACTTAGCGGTACTTTTGGGTTTTTACATTAAGCACTCCAGACTGAATCAACATCAAATTTACCATTTCTGGCTTTTTCTTTAAAATGATTACTCCAAAAAAGGGAACTTATAAAAGTGATTCCTAAATATTTGTACTCATTTACCACCTCGATCATTTTACCCATATACCACCATTTGTCGCTTGCCTTCAATTTGCAGCCTTGCCTCTCTCTTTTAAATATTATTCAATATTGCCTCAGACCTGTGTTAGTTTCGAAACTGTCAGATACACCTCCTTCACACCACACACTCGAACTGGTGCTGTTGTAGTAGTTTTTTAATACATTCAGCACTCACGTCGATAATCCCAAACTTGAGAGTTTAAAAAACATTGATTTTCGATCAATTGTAAAAAGCCGCGCTAAAGTCAACAAAAAACGCATAACTTTCCTCCTTTTTGTGATAGACGTAACTTAACCATACAAGCCAGATTAAAAAAATTTATTAATAGTGGAGTAACCTTTCCTAAAACCCGCTTGAAATTCCGTTACTATTTCATTTTCTTGAATCCACGTTTGTATTCTATTGTTTATGAGACTTGTAAAAATTGTGGCCACGCTATCAATAAAAGATAATCCACGGTAGTTTTCAACTAAATTGAGGTCTCCTTTTTTGTGTAGAGGGAAAATAATTGAGGTTTTGAAAGTTTTTGGAACAGTTTCACTGTTTAAAATTTTGTTGTAGGCCTAAATTATTATTAAAATACACAAACAACTTTCGGGTGATTTTTTGAAAAATTCACAAGGAATTCTATCTGGCCCCGGGGCCTCATCACACTTAAATGTTTTCAAAGCATTCTTCAGCTCAGCAAGAGTGAAGTCACTATCTAATCAGCAGTTATTGTAGTGTTATCGTAAGTTAAATTAAAATATAGTTTTAATAAGACAAATACTTTATTAGGTAGCTTTTACAATAAATCAAGATTCAGAATGTTTACCAACAAAAACTAAACAAATAATATTCTAATACCATATGTTCTCAAACACATATGAATAACAACACATCTCCCCTTCAAAGATCGAACCTCCGGGTAGGTTTGAATTGTCTTGTTGATCTTCTTAGATTTGCTAAAGGATTTGGCTGTGATGCCAATGCAGGATGATCGAAAGGTTCTGATCTTCTGAGGTTTTCGGAAGGACATGTCTGCAGTGCTGGTTGAGAGTGATCAGAGGCATAGTAGTGCTAAATCTTTGCAGTGATCTTCTGTTCCTCCGCAAACAACCATCTTGCGTTTGAATGATATAGGATCGAGGTGCAGGATGTTTGTTTAATATAGTTCCTTCTTGATTCCTGTCCTTTATATGGACTTGAGCTCCAACAGGTAGAGTAGGCAATTCTGTGGCTCTATGTCTTTTGTCAAAATAAATCTTTTGACGATCAATTCTTGCTTCTTACTTTTCCCTTAATTTTTCAGCGTCTACCAGATAGGGTCTTAGTTGATCAGACATTATTGGAACATAAGTGCGGATCCTCCTCCTGAAAAGTAATTCCGCTGGACTTTTCCCATTTTCTAGAGGGGTTGCTCTTAACATAAGTAGCATTTTGTAGGGATCATCACTTTTTTCTAAGTGGTACTTAAAGTTTTTTACTTGCGCTTCGATGAAGCCGTTGCTTTGTGGAAATTTTGGGCTTGATGTAATCAATTTAAATCCATAATCACGACCAAGTTGTTTGAATTGACAGCAGTCAAATTGAGAACCACAGTCTGCTCTCACTGTCTCAGGTACACCATGACGTGCGAAGATGGACTTTGTATATGTCACAATAGTGCCCATTTTTAAGTCATTTAGTCTAGCAATCTCCATAAACCTGGAATAATAGTCTGAGATTAAGAGCTTTTTGAAGTCCCTACAAAAAAATACCAACTCTTTTGAATTGAGGTCGTTAGATTGGATTTGTCACTACTTCAAATCTATGAATTTCGAGTCAGAACAGACTAACTGGGACACAAAAATGTTTTTGTTTTCCTGCAAAGTGATCTGAAGGAAAGTGGTAATTGAGTTTAAGTTTGAGTATGTAATGTGAAATAATACCCATAGTAGGGGACGGAAACTTATCGTTTTGATCAATATAATTTATTCAATTTATTCTCTATAGCCACCAGAACAATCATAGGGTAATCCTTGCAAGTTGTACAGATAATTGCTAATGATTGGTAAACATACAAACATTTTATCGTAAGTGATTAATCTTACTCAAGATCAGTGTTCGACGTCCAAATTTTACCTTCTCGAGATGGCGAGTACGCTGGGATATTTGGAACTACAATTTATCAGTGAACTATACCCTAACTATATTTTTTCGAGTAGGCCTACACAGGGAAGTTGCTTGAGAAACTGTGACTTACGATTTCGGTTCTGGCGAAGAAGTACCGGTATCTGACTTGATGTTTGATGGCAATGTTGACTCGGGTCATTATAGCGTTATAAAACTTTATCATTACCCCAGGATGTGAAAAGTACAAAAAGAAAAAGAAAAGGTAATCATTAACCGGACGTAAAGAGACATACAGAACGAAAAAAAAAAAACATGTAGGGAACCATTGAACTAAAAAGGTAAAGAGCAGTGATGGTGTTAAATGTGCTCTGGAAGCCCCTTCTAAAAAATACCATTTTTTTAAATTGGGGTCGTTAGATTGGATTTGTCAGTACTGCAAATCTATGAATTTTTAGTCAGAACAGACTAACTGAGGCACAAATATTTTTTCCTTATGTTGTCACAAGGGGAAGGTAAAATGAACTCATTATCAACATTTTGAGTTTATGGAAAATCTTATCAACACAGCCACTATAAAAAAGTATTAAGGGTCAAAAGAGACAACAAAACTATTTGAGCAAAATATAATACAAATCTGCATTTGAAATGGCCAGTTCTAAGTCTCACTTGAATCAACATCTTTCTGGTAGTGGTAGTCTACATAGTTTTAAAATCCACGACTCCTTTTCCATCAAATTGGACCGTTAATAGCCTCTAACATTGAACAAAGTATGCCCAACTTTATATATACGACGTAAACACAGTTTTTACTCACAGTATGGGTCAAAGATTCGTGAAATGCGACCAACTGCTGATGCTGATTTACATGTAGGCTAAGTGACTATCTTTATTCCATACAACAAATGTAATGAAAAAAACGACGAATATAGGAATATACTTGAGCAAATTATCTAAATAGCATAAATAGCTGCTTATTAGGTTATCAGCATTGCCCAGTTCGTATACTATTTATTTTTCAAATGAAACTCGAATTAATATAAAACATTCATTTGGTTAAAATAATATATCGGTTTGATTAACATAAAATAGTTTATACAGGCAAACTATCAGTTCTATTTCATGTAAAAAATTAAACAACCCCTAAATAAAATACAAAGATAAACAGTATTTGTTAATTATTATTTCTTTTATTGCTGACAATATTCCCGTGGCGGAGCACGGGTGGTTAACTAGTAATATTCTAATACCATATGTTCTCAAACACATATGAATAACAACACAGTTATCTATGAGCGGTTCCGCATAGCTAATCGCACCTGCCTTGATGGGGGGATTCAAAATGTGTTATCCATTTTCAGGAGATATTTCTCCCACATTACTACCTTTCTTCTTTAACCGACTTCCCCACTACCAACAAAAGGAGGAGGTTCTCAATTCATTTGTGGCAATGTTTGTAATGTGTTTATGGACCGCCAAAATGATTTACTGTCATATTTTATGACTTAAATCAAATATAAATTTATCATAATAACACCTTTTCTTTGTAACACACAATTTCTTATAAATATTTGACTGTTTTATATAACTGAGTTTGACTACCTTTGAAATTGTTTTCCTATGGTTATTAAATATTTATATATTTATAAATATGGTTATTAAGCCTTATTCCCTAAATGGAAAATTCGCTAAAAATACTGAAAATTAGAAAGTACCGTTAAGTGCAGGTGGCTGAAGCTTAGGGTGTATCTGCTGACTACAGACAGGGTAGCAAAGAAGTTGTCTCAATAAACCTGCTGTGGTGTACAGTCATACCATAGATGAGTAAACTTGTTGAGTGTAGTTAATGGCTATTGTAGATGAAAATAGCGTGTGATTTTGTGGTATTTGATCGTCTGCAGGGAGGGTTGGACAAGGCACAGGGTCGTTTAACCGAAAATCAGAGAATCAAAACTCTGTAACAGTCTAAAATTCACACAATAGGGTTCGCTGGTCATGGAATGTGTTGTTGTAGCATTCTTACCACTTTTTAAAACCTGATATGTTTCATGCGTACTCAAAATCAGTAAAGGTGTATAAATACGCTATAAAGCATTTACCATTCAATAAAATTCATTAACATTTAACAAATTCTTCCACTTTATTAAATGTTGAATTATTTTTTAGGTAAGGAGGGAAACTACCAAGTAATCTTGAAGAGCGTGGAACTTCCAATTGTTCCAAGAAGTGCTTGCTTAGAAGCTTTACGTCAGACCAGACTAGGTAAACACTTTAAACTGGATGAAAGCTTCATCTGTGCTGGTGGCAAACCTGGAGAGGACACATGCAAGGTAAGGTTTCAATAGTGTAACACTGTTGTTAAATAAATTTCTTTTATGAAGCGATCATTAGAATAAATACAACAAAAGGTTTTTGGTTGTATGAAATAAGAGATGATAAGTAAGGTTACATTCTGACATAGTAAGGTTACTATAGTCTGATTTTTACCGGAGTGCGGCTGGAGCTCAGCCCTACCTGCGAGGGACCCGACTCACGCACGCACACTCACCACCGTCCTAATTGCCTGAAAGCCCCGATCCCCTATTCACTAAAGAAATATAACATCTGTTGTATGATACCTCAAAATTGCAATTCATTTGATGTTAGATATACAGTAAAATGGTTAGTGTTAATACATTTGTTGTTTAATTCAATGAAAAATGAGTCCAAACGCGAAATGATTATGACAAGTAGCTAGCTAATAAAAACGTGTTAAAGTATTCGTAGCTTTTCCCCTTTTAAGCAAAATATATATTGTTTGGTATCATTTCACTAAGAATTTTGAGCTGAAGTCAAAAGCGTTACCAGATTTTATAGCAAACGTAAAATTAAAAAAATTGATAGTTCAATTTCCAGGAGCCAGCGATGACTCGCGCGACAGGTCAATGGTCCGTCCCACGTCCGTCCTAATCCCTTGCGCCTGTGTGTGTGAGGCCTGCGTGTGTGTGAGTAGGGTCGACCCTTCAGCCAGCCGCTTTCCGTCAACAATCACACTATAAGCTGACATTATGTTCTGTTCATTAATGTATGATTTCTTAGCTGTGGAATGAATAGCAATAAATAAAACATATTAAACCACACATTATGAATTTAGGGTGAAAATTGTTCATCCAAATATTTCTTTGTTGGTGTGATCCTAACTTTTCAATGGGTGTACAAAAAGTCAATAATAGGAACGTAAGAACATACTTAGAACCAGCAAGAGAATTTACATCCATCGGTCCAACCAATTCAGAGTGTACCTATTCTAGCAACTATTACTACTACTTGGTTGGAAAGGTAGTCGGTGACTTTTGCCAAGTACGTACATGATTTACAAGGAATATCAGGCTTTTTATCAGAAAGATTGATTCCATGCAACAAGCCATTTGACAATTTTGTTAAATCGTCATAGTTGAAATGAGCCATACGTTTATGCCAGAGTACTTGATCATTGCATTTTGCAGCCATGACTGTGCTGAAGAGAATTGAACATCTAATTTAACCCTTTTACGGCCACTGACGCATGCGAGATGGCACGTGGTGTCCACTGAGCACCTAGTCAGCTGACTGACTGAAGGTCGCTGACCCGCCGGCTGGTTCATTGTTTGAGAAGCGCCACAACAAAATCCACTAATTTGGTGTCTTATGTTCAAACGATCATAACTCGGCTTAGGTTATAGCTAGATCTTTACTTTTTGTTTTGTTTTGTACGTCTTTAGTTTATCTACAACGTAAAGTATAATTAAAAAAGTTGTACTAGTTTTTAAATATTATTACTATTGAAAAAAATACAAATTTATGAAATATTTTTAAAAGTTTTGTATTTTAATGTTCTAAAATGTATTTTTGTAAATTATTGTAATGGATAAACTATATATTTCCGTAATCCCTATTATCTTATGAGCATGTAGTAATAATTTTAGGTCAAAATATCTATAAATAATTTCATGAGAGTGAAAAATTCTAAAATGTGTAATTTTTACAAAAAATCTATTTTTGCAAAATACTTTGTAGGGAGTCAAAAATCCGAACCAATTGGGACCGTAGATAGTTCAGATTACCGATTTGTTAGGATTTTCAAACATAGCCAAGTAATGCCTAATAGACACATAATTATGCCTACAGTATTAAAAATACAATTCTAGGATACATTGAATGAAATGAAAACAAAGTTTTTGTACTTAGGTATTTTTGTTACATTATACTGTATTCGTTTCTTGAAAAAATATGTAGATTAGTTACATTGGAAACTAACAAAACACAGACTGGCTCGGCGAGTTCACTCATTTCCCTGCAAGGCGCCAACTGTTTGGCCCGCGAAATTGTAAAACATCTGTTGTCTCTGTGCTAATTCAATATTTTAAAACCCTAAGGAACGGTTCGGAATTTTGACGTTTCAGATTTTTGACGTTCGGATTTTCAACTCTCTACTGTACCTAATTTATTACAGTTGCATTAATAACATAATTTTTATGTAATTATAGGCTAATACTTCTTAGACTTTAAAATACTGTTTCTAAAAAAAATAAAAAAACAATAGAAATTGTAACCATGGATATATATATATATATATAATACTAGCTGGTATATATATATAATACTAGCTGGCCCGACAGACGTCGTCCTGTCCTAATGTGGTTTTATGTCAAAAGCTCGTTCATTTTCAAGATGAGCTCATTCGCATGGGTCAATCACGTCCTGGTTGAAGTTCGTTCGTAACGCTCACTCACCTAGGTTGGAGCTCGTTCGCTGTGCTCACTTGCCTACAGCTTAGCTCGTTCGCTCACTAACTCGCCTCCAGGTTGAAGTTTGTTCGCTACGCTTACTCACCTTTTGGTTGCAAATTAGCTGTTGTCATAAATATAAAAAAATAATAGTGCTGCACCCTGTTGGTAAACCTATTAACTTTTTAATACTATTGAACATCACAGAATCAAATTGATTAGTTGAACCAGCTGTTAAGATTCTTAAATTACATTTAAATATGAGTACTCATAAGGTTAACATGGGAAACTTCAGAGCCACTGGGGCGGAGCCCTTTTGACGGATCTGCACCAAACTTCACACAAACCATCCTTAAATAATGCTTAATAATGCCTGAAAGATTCATTACAATCTGTCGAGCGGTTTCGGAGTCCATAAAGGACAAACAAACAAACATACATACATACAAACAAACATACATTGGATTTTATATATATAGATATAAAATGTTAGTTACGACATACCTTTGTTTTTGTTAGTCCAGTGAATTGTGAAGCACAGGCTGACAGTTTCGAGCGATTCGAGAAAGTAATGTTATAACTTAAAAAAATTAACAGCACAGTTTTGAGTCATATTTACACTTATTTACATATATTTACAAATATTCATTTGCTGGGTTTAATTACTTGCACTTGTGACGCGGGAGGCAGTCCAAGTGACACCCGACCTTGCAGGAAACACACACGGTTCTACTTCGCCTCCTTTTACCTTCCGGGTCATTCTTCCCACTGCAGATGGCACAATTCTTTTCTTTATTTCCTTCCAGCTTCTCAACTCCATTTTTTTTTTCTAACAGGGCCATCACCACCACCATTACCAACCCCATCTGCAGCATTTATCACTGCCAGCCATTCATTTGCCAATGCCTCTATAGCTGAAACCTGAAAATCGAGTCGGGAAATAGGTTTATCGGTGTTCAACTTATAATTAACATAGGAATTGAGGACCATTCGGCCAAAGATGTTGAAGATGACCTTCTTCCAATGTTTCATGCATCGTCTTTCGTCTAGATATGTGTATAACATCTGGTCAGTTCCATCAATTCCACCCATTCCACGATTGTATTGGTCTACAATTTTAGGTTTGTTTTTTTATCACAATCCTCCCACTTCTCCTTATAGTGTATCTTACATTGCCAGTTTTTGCCTTGGTTGACATCATGATAGATTGGGTTCGGTTAGTGGCTTTTTCTCTAAATGCCATTCGTAAAATGGCCCCCTTCCTTACATACACCTTTTTCCCCACCTCATAGTTTCCTTTCAACTGCCGTGGAATACCTTTCTGTCCCAATCTAACTGTTCCAGTTAGGTAAGCTGCTTTTGAGAGCAAATACCTGGCCAACTTCTTAGTGAGAAAGAAATTGTCGAGAAAAATGTGATACCCCTTGTTCAAGAGGTTTGCCATCCCCAGGAGTTTCACTACCACTGTAGGGCCCAAACCATATTTGTCAATTCTGTCACGGTCGGTTTCATATTTTAATCCTTTCTAGCAATAAAACTGAGAGCAGTACTTTGTTTCTGCATCGCACAATACCCACAACTTAATTCCCAAACAATGGTGTTTCTTTTTGGGTAGATATTGTGTTAGTGCAACTCTTTTCTTTGTACTGACTAACCACTGAAAGTTTCTCTGATGGAGTAAAATACTGTCGAAATAATCTATTACAGTGGCCGATTAGTGGTTGAAAACGACCACATGGGTCATAATTAGGCTGATTTTGTTTAGGAAGTGTGTCCGAATCTACTATATGAAAGAATTTGAGTAATAGTTCAAATCTGTTTCGACTGAAAACTTTGCTGAACCAGGGTTGATTTTGTGATGATGCAGACGACCAATAGCTTTCTATGCTAGGCTTTTTGTTTATTCCCATATTTAAAATGACTGTTAAGAAACCTTCCATCTCATCGACGCTTGTATTCGTCCAGGATCGCGTAGACGGCTTTTAGGAGACAAATTGCCTTCAAGGGAACCTAAGTATTTCCTGGCATATTTATTTGTTTCAGTTACAAATGTATTCAGTAAAGTTGTTGTGAAAAATAGATGTAAATAGGCAATAATTGAAAAGCTAGGCAAAATTGGAGTTATAGGAAAAGAGCAACTGTGGTTTTCTTCCTATTTAACTAATAGATATCAGAGAACTAAAATCAGCAAAAATGGTCAACAAGTAAATTCATCTTGGGATAAAGTGCAATGTGGTGTGCCACAGGGGTCAATATATGGGTCCCTCTTTGTTTTTAATCTATGTAAATGATCTGCCAAATATAACAAAGATGAAACTTTTTCAATATGCAGATGACACAATGCTTTTGTGTAGAGGACCCACTATTGACGTCATGCAGACTAGCATAGACAAAGAATTCTCTGCTCTGGGTAACTGGTTCCGGGCAAATGGTCTGGCCCTAAATGTGGAAAAAACACAAATTATAAACTTTTCAGCTAACTACAGGGAAGATGATTCAAATCACATTATCCTTTCAAATAATCAATTATCTCCACAACAAAATGTAAAATTCCTCGGATTAATTTTGAATAAAAATCTTAACTG